GCGTGGGTGTGAAGGCGAGCTGTGTGAGGACACAGTGCAAGTGCCTCTCCCAGCTGGGAGCGTGGGTGTGAAGGCGAGCAGTGTGAGGACACAGTGCAAGTGCATCTCCCAGCTGGGAGTGTGGGTGTGAAGGTGAGCAGTGTGAGGACACAGTGCAAGTGCATCTCCCAGCTGGGAGCGTGGGTGTGAAGGCGAGCTGTGGGAGGACACAGTGCAAGTGCACCTCCCAGCTGGGAGCGTGGGTGTGAAGGTGAGCAGTGTGAGGACACAGTGCAAGTGCACCTCCCAGCTGGGAGCATGGATGTGAAGGCAAGCGGTGTGAGAACAGGATTCAGTGAGGAGAGAAGCAGCAGCTCCTTGGCTGTAACTGGGTAACTAATTTGTAGACGTGGGTATGAACTGGGAAGGAATGCAGACAGATGGGATGTTTTCAGAGTTGTGTTCGCGCTGTTTTGGTAATTAAAAATAAACGAACTCTTTGCTGATAATGACAGGATGGCTGTCACTGTGCACAGAGCTAGGCTGCAGGCTCGCCCAGGGGAGTGGCACCGGGCGCACAGCTCTGTCACTTCCTTTGACTGGGAGCGACCTCATTTCTGAGCCGGGTTGCTCATCTGTAAAGTGTGAACCATAGTTTCTATTGAGAGTCGCTGTGAGGATGGACTGCAGGCCCAGAGCCAGGCTCCGGAAGGGCTCGTCACACCGTCCCTATCAGTCGGGCCGACTGAATGCCGCCATCAGTTTGCACACTGAAGCTGGCGATAGCCAGAATTTCCTGAACTGTTCACGCCTCGGGAGTGGTGGTTTTAAGACTTACAGCCACTGATTTTATTCAGGTGCCACTGTAATGATTCCGAATCATTACTGACTTTCTGTGCCCCTTGTGCACGTAGGGAATCACTTTTTCTGGAGAAGCGGAGCTCCCTTTCTGAGCACTTCCTGTCCTTCAGCCCCAGTGGGTGATGACAAGGAGCGCCTGCTTCTAAAGAAAGGCCAGGTGGTTTGTTAGCTGCTAACTGTCGCCTCCTTCCTGTGGGAATCCCTCCCTGATTGGGTCATCTCTATCTTTTTACAAAGACTGGAATTACTGCAGCGCCACTGACGTGGGACCTGTCGGGAGATGGGCGGTGTGTGGGCGGCAGCAGAAATGGCCTGTCTTTGAACTGCTCTGCTGTCAGAGTTTACATTTTTTATTTGTTTGCAGCCTGTCTCTTTTAGGTCTTTTAAACATCTCAAAAACTGGGCGACCTGGGGTAGTTTGCATCTTTGATCCACAGTATTCAAACCTGAGGACCACACCCAAATGCACTATTACAGTAGGTGATGTGTGTGCGGTGGCTCCTGCCGTGTTGGGAAGCTGCCCACTGTCCCCGGAGAAAGGGTGCCTTCCCACGCGGATTTGTTCTAATCTTCCCTAGTCTTCCTGTATTCTGTGTCCACCAGGCAGGATTCAGGGCCCCGTGAAGGTCAGGCTCCCCCTACTAGACTCTTTCACACTGTGCTGTGACTTGTTCATCATCTGTCTTTTTTCTCCCCAGACTGTCTGCTCTTCCCAAGCAGCCATCTTCACCCTGGGGGTCGGGTGGGTGGGGAGAGCGGGCGTGAATAGCTCCCGAGGAGCCAAGGTGTAGCTTTTCAACTCCGTAGGTATTTTCCCAAAACTGTGTGCCTGAGAACTCTCCTGTGGTCAGCCATCTCTTCCAAACTTCACAAGAAAGGGACACTGCTCTCCCCCACCCCAAATCTTGCTTGTGCTCCCCAAGTGGAAGGTCTGGCAGATAAGAGAGCTGTCTGTCGGCCCAGCCACATAAAGGAGCTGAGAGAGAGAACCTCAGTTAGGAATCAGCTGTGGCCGCCAGCGCTCTAACACACAGCGTACTGCTGGGCTGTCCTCACCTTCCAGGCGGTCAGGGTCACCCAGAAGTGTCGCTCGGAGCTGCGGATGTCTTTGGACCACTCAGCATGTCTCTGCACAGACATCGGTCAGTGCAAACTGCACAGACTTCCTTGTGAGTACATGGGAAGGCTTCCAGAATAAATTGTCGTGTTACAGGGTGGCTCCTTGAGTCCTTTGTTTGGAGACACAGATATTTCCTTCAGGGCGGATCGGGACGACTTTGCTTGTCTTGGATTTCATGTTTGCTGGTTGGCCTGCTCCAGGAGTGATGTTTTTGTCACTCCATTGCTTCCGTTGTAGTGTGTGACTTCTTTGTTGGTTTTGATTGGAAAATCCTGTCACAAAGATTAATGACATACTTCCATTGGAATTTGGAATGGACTAGATCGTCATACAGTTACTATCTGCCTGCAGTCTTATAAAGCCAGGGTGCGCCACCCTCTCTCTCCAGTGAAATGAGATATTTCAGAACAGTTCGCCAGGGTCTGCACGGCAGCCTTATACTTTGGGGCCTTTTCACCAGTGTGAATACAGGAAACATTTTGAGGTATGTAAACAGCTCTGAGAAGCTGCACAAACATGGCCAGCTCCTCCTCGCCCTGTGCTGTCCTTCGTTAGGTTGGTGCTGTACTGTAGCTTCAGTATGGAGAGAGGTGGGAAGGCTTGGGTTTGTTGTCTTGGTTTTCTTTGAAGCTGACGGCCAATGTGAAACATCCGGGTCCCACCACAGAGTGTTAGCCCCACTTCACGGACACATTCCACCCTTGTAACCCCAGAGCCCCTGGGATTGGGTATTTTCAGTCGTTTCAGTGATGAAAGAAGATACGTCTCATGTGCAGCGCACTGTCCTGCGGGGTGAAGCGTGGGCTAAGTGTGTTTCGCTCCCTGATAGAGACAGGCACGTGGGGGTGGGGTGCTGGCCTGCCGCCCTCCCCTCAGCTCTGTTAGTGCTGTGTTCACAGTTCCGGCTCAGGTTCACGCTGACATTTAGAAATCGGTGCGCAGTAGTAGCTCTTTGGTCATTGGCTCCTGTGAGCGTTTTGGGGTAGTCGGGCCAGCCTCGGGCTGAAGCCTGGGGCTCGCCGCTGCTTCACACGGCCTCTGGCAGGGTGGGAGGTTCCCACGGAGGCCACCTGCAGGGCCTGGCGGGTTTCCCTTTTTAAATCGCGTGAGCACTACTCGGTTTGCAAACATTTCCGAGCCCTGCTTCTTGGTGGTGGTGGTGTTTGTCTCTGTCTTGTGGAGTCAGCTTTGTGGCCATAGTGAAAGTGTGTTACACGTGTGACTCTGTCACCAAATTCATTTCCAAGAAAGTTAAGTGTTATTCTCCAGGTGGGAATGGGCAGCTCATAGAAAGTACAGTCCTCTGGGTTTTGGAACTACTGTTTCTCTCCACAAAAAATTCTATTTGGAATATTTACTTATTTTAAAGGCTGCAGAGAGTGGCCGTTCTCGTGTTACAGAGCAGATAGGATCTCTGTCCACAAGACCCGCGTCTCCATCTGTGCCCCGGCTCCTCCTGTGTCCCTGAAATCACAGGTGGTTTCCAGGGTGGTGTGTGTGTGAGGGAGAGCACGTCAAGCCTTGGTGCACGGTCATTTCTTACACCCCTGGCGTGTAGGCACGTCCGTAATCCCTCAGCCCTCCACGCAGCAGCCTCTGTGGGCCACGCGCGGGAAATTAACTGGCTTCCAAGCATGGACAATGGTTTGAAGACTAGACACTCAGTCCCCTGGAGACGGGTGGGGAGGCGCTGTAGACTCTCTCAGCAGCAATCACCACTGTTGCCTTAGGGTGGGGTTCCCACCCGTTCCTTTTTACGGTGCTAGAATCTTCAGTAGCAGAAATGCTGTCCAGGGATGGTCCTCAGAATGGAATTATTTCACATTGTAACTCTTTATTCAGAGTGAAGTGCACAACTCACCACCGCCCTCATTACTCAGCCAGGAAAGGGGGGCAGCTCGGAGCGGGAAGAAAGCCCACAGGAAGCCGAGTGCCAGGGAGGGCGAGTGCGGGCTGCTGGAACCAAGGGGCACCTGCCTCTGCTGTTCTCAGGAGGCTTCCTGCACCCAGCCCAGCCCCGGGGCCTTAGCTACCCCCCGACTCTGTTCCTGCGGGTCCCTTTTGTTCCCCTCCAAGGAGGACACCCCCAGCGGAAGGCTTTGCCCCCCCCCCATCTCCCTCAGCGTGGGGTGTCCCGGGCCTCCTCCCGCAGAACAGGCTGCCCCTCCCCCGCAGGCCTCCCTGCGTGATGGCCAGAAAAGGCTCCTTTCCTCCAGGCAGTCCTGGCTGGACGCTGTATTGGGTCCCGTCATCATTCTTTTTTAAAAATATATACTTTATTGATTTTAGAGAGGAAGGGAGAGGGAGAGAGAGATAGAAACATCAATGATGAGAATCATTGATCGACTGCCTCCTGCACGCC